TTTGATTTAATTTGTTAAATCGATTATATATAGATATTTTAATTAATATGTTTCGATAAGACTACTTCAAATTACATAATATAACCACAATCAATAGTTTAGATGTTATCGATACTTTAATATATTTTGAAATTGTCACTCCAGTCAAAAGTTAATATGTCTTCGATGATTAAATTTGGATGTTAACATTACGTTTATCGAAATGCTTTGAAGAACTATTTTTCAGACGATTTATTTACTATAGCTATACAACTAGGAAGGGGAACATTTTTTCAAAATTCTGTTACATGGTGTAAAAGTCATTTAAAGCGATAACTTTGGCACGAAAATTATGCAAATGTGGATTGCTGGGGCGCTACGTAACCTTCATTGAGTTCTGCGCTCTGTGCGACTGATTAGCTAAATGGTTTTTTATTATTATTATTTTGGCAGTGGGTGAAGCGGGCCTGAGCTGAGGGTGGAGATTGCCATCGAATCACGTGAATGAACTTGTTTGCACACGACAAGAGAAGCGTCTACTATAAAAATGAAAATGCAAATGAAAATGAAAATAAAAAATCAAATAAAAATATAAACAATAGCAAACAGCGAGCAGCAGATTACCGAATGCCAAATTTCATTCGGCGACTGTTTCCGTTTTCATGTCTATGGCAAATTTTTGCACACTCAACGCCAATCAATTTCGAGATAGTTTACGATTATTGTTTTTTGGCCGCTAAGGCAGCAGAGAAGCGGGGCACGAGTAGCTGGGTGACAGTCGCGTGTCACAATCAACTACTTTCACACACACACACACACAGAGAGAGTGAGTGAGAGACAAGCACAACACATCATCCATGTAAATGTTATGTATTAGCAGTGCTACCCCTCAGTTCAGAGTGCATAATATGCCAGAATTTATTTGACATTTGCAAATCTGGCGTGTGAAAACAATTACAATCATATTATTTGGGGGGTTGATTTTTTGTGGGTTCGGGAAGCTAACCACAAATGTCAGAAAGCAGCAGACACACACAATAAATGGGCATGGCAATGACAATGCAAAGAGTGCGAAAGGGTAGAGCAACAATAAGCAACACTCGAATGTAAAGTGAGCTACAAAACAAAGTGTACAAGGGTTTATTGTATGCAGCTGTAAAGTCGAGTTATGTTAAAGTTAACAGAAGTTCGCTAAGCATTTAACAGCGATGTAAATGTTATGTTTTGTTTAACACTTGATCAAAATAGGTTCAAAATAGATTCATATTTATTAGTTAATTACTAATACTAACTAAAATATTTATGCCATATTTAATCTAAGCCAGACTTAGCTGTTAAGTATGCATCTCTTAACAGTTCTGTTAAAAATGCTGGCATTTAGCAGAAAACTGTTAAAACTGTGCTTCAACTTCAATTCTGTTGTTGCTCGAATCTGAGTATTTGCATAAATAGGAATTGTCCTGAAATTAAATAATTAAAATTGCATTTAGCATTTTTGATTGTCAACTTATTTTTATCGCAATTCGAAAACATGTTTTTCAAAAAATTTTTAATTTGAAAGATACACAAATGAGTTTTAAAATTGTTGAAACTTTTGTAGAATGCATTTATGGCTTTCTAAGCTATTTTTAGTCACAATGTTTACGAATACGGAATTTAAATGCTCTCTGAGAAGAGGGTAAGGTAAGCGCCAGAAATAATTTCCTTCATATGCGTATGCGAGTTGTGATAAAGTGGAATTCATTTGAATTGAATCCAAGCTACATATTTCATTTTCTGCCAAGCGGCTCAACTATTTTTTTTGTTTTTCAATTCCCTTGTCTGTAAACGTAGAAGTTAGATAACAGAAACTATTTTGCATACTTTTGCTGCTGTTTGTGCTGTTGTTGTTGTTGTTGTTGTTGTTGTTTTGTGCCCAAGAACGTAATGAAAGGATTAGCCACAAAGGTTGAAATGCCAAATGGGTGAAAATAGCAAATGTCAATTGTTAGCTAACTATTTGGAGCAAAAGCAAAGGGTGCGGATTGTGGCCACAAAGAGACTGGCAATGTACAGTGAAAGCTCGCTTGAGCGGACGCAAACGGTTTCCGGTTTCCTGCGTCAAAGGAAATCTTTTCTAATTTCGCTTTCAATTTCCAGAAACTAAGGAATAAAATGTAGGGTACGTTCGTAGAGCGTTCACTGTACTTGCACACACGTTGACCGAGACAGCGACAGAGAGGGACAGACAGAGCGAGCTAGCGAGCGAGCGATACTTGTGAGAGAGAGAGAGAGAGAGAGAGAGAGAGCTGATGTTTGTGAATTTAGCTTGCTGAGAGAAATTATATCAAATATCATCAACATAATATAATACCAAATTCGGCAACGAAGAAATCGCGCAATTTCAATCTGGATTTCTTTGGCTCCTCGCGCGGATGATGCACCGTTATTTGATCCCCATCAGCCGATATAATTGTCTCGCTGGGCGGCGATATCGAGTACTGCTGCAGCATGCGGCGCTGCTGTTCGGTGAGCTCGTCCAGCGGATCGTTAGCCGTTGCCCCGCTGCAGGCAGCACTGTTGGGCGTGCCGCCGCCCACTAAACAGGCAGCCGAGCTCGAGGCAGAGACGCCGCCGCCGCCGCCGCTGCCGCTGCCGCTGCCAGAAGCGGCCAATTGTTGAGCAATGAGCAGCTTCTGTGCATGCTCCTCGGCCTCTTTTTGTTTTTTGAAATCTTTCATGGACACACACACACATACATATATATTTACATTTGTAGACATAGATCATACATACATATGTATGCATGTATATTTATATATATATATGTATATAGAATTATAGATTAAGTACAGCAATATAAACTTGGGTATAAACTTAAAATGGGGCATTATATGGACCGAAGAGGGTGGGCGTGTGGTAGGGCAGGCTTTTTGGGGTACGGCTTGGCTACAGGCGAGCTGCAGAGGAGAGCTGCCGTCAATTGGCTGAAGGGGGTTACCGAAATTGACTCTTCAATTGAATTATAATTATAATTATTATTTTTTGTTTTAGTTTTTTAAACTTAAGGCTTATTTGTTCAAAAAAACAGGTATTTTTGAAACCCAAAATTTATTTACAGAGACGGTACAGAGCTAGTTACCGTTAAACATTAACATTTTAGCGCACTTAACATTCTCAAGATGCCTAATAGACATGTTAGTAAAGTAAATGTTAGATCTCTGTTATTGCAGCTAAGTTCTCAATATATCCTCAATTATATTAATTTAACCTCAATTTCCAAGCAAATTATCAACGGCAAACGCATATGATTTAAATGTATGTATATGTATTTGTGTCGACTGACTTTTTGATGGATTTTGGTCAAAATCTCGCCCGCACTCGCATTCTGGCGCTCTTATCGAACGGAAGGCCCGAGAGCGAATAAAACGATTGCCCGGCGAGGCGAGAAAAATCAAATAAAATATTACAAAATTATAATCAAATGGGGGGTGGCTATCACGATGATAGGGTTAGTGACGAAGGGAGGGGGGGGGGGGGGGGGGGGGGGGCTTGAGAGGAAGTGGTAGTAGCTGCTGATGAGTGTGCTTGAAAATTTAATTTCAATTTGCAATTTGAAAAATGAAATTTCGGCACCACCAAGTGTGAGGATTAAAATTAATGACAATATTTTTTGCCGTTGCCAGCGACATGCTCGCAGAGTGCATGACCTAGCCCATGGAGCTGACCTTGGCATAGGGCGTGTCCGCCCACGTACAAACATCAGTCATGAAAACTGTTCTTTTTTCTTTTTTTTTTGTTGCTGTCATTTATTTTGTTCCGTTTCTAGTTCTTGTCGGGGTCATTATTAGCTAAAGGTGGCCACGTCAGAGCCAAAGTGCGGAAATGTACGCGTTACCAAATACAACAATAACAACAACAACAACAACAAATGTTTAAAATTGTGGCCAAATGCAATTTTGCAGCCAAGTCAAAATCGTCAATAAACCGATCCATTGGTGAAGCGCCACCTAGCGTACAAAGCGTACATACGCTAATCGGCTTAAGCTGAAGGCTGCAAATACCACAACCCCCTCTCCCCCCCCCTCCCCACTTATCCACCACACCCAACGAATAACTAAACTATTTAGCGCTTAGGAATGTGTCGCACTGCTAAATGTTAATAACAAATGCAGCAGAGCGAATATGCAAACGCAATTAACAGTGCAAATGACGACTCTGTTATTAGTGCAGCAGAGCGGCGGAGGGTGCGCAAAACGGGCGCTCACGTGATTGAAATGTTTTGCGCTTCCGCTTATTTTTACTTATTTGTTTATTTTTTATAATCTTTTTCTTTAACCTGATTCATGATCGTGTTATCAGCAAACAGTCAACTGTTTCGCTGCCTGGTGACGTCATGCGAAAGCAACAATTTTGCCATGGCCCAAATGGGCATTATATAAAAGCATGCAAGAAATAACGGCACACTTAACAGCGGCGAATTGACTTGAACGATCATGTTATTAGCAGGCCGCTGTTATGCATACAAAAAGCGCCGCTGTTAATTGTTAATGAGCCATGTTAAGCATGTTGACAAAAAAAAAATTAAAATAAAATATAAAAAAAACCCCGCAAAACAATGACGATATGACGATAACAACAAAAACAAGAACAAGGTTCGCTGGTTGCATTTGAGAAGCAATGAAAATCAATTAAAATTAATTGATACAAAAGTCAAATTAAAGGGGGGAGGCCGCTTATGGTGCGGCTTGTGCTTCTTCTTGTTTTGTTGTTGTTGTTGTTGTAATTGGCTGCTTGTGCGTCATTTGTTGTTGATGTTGTTGCTGTTGTCGCTGTTGCAAACTAAACGAACAATGTGCAATAATTAGAAAATGCAATCGTTTTGAGGCGCTCTCCTCATCCTCTCTCGCTCGCACACACAATCAGCCAGCCAGAATAAGGTTATAAATTAAAAGTTGAGAAGAATACGAGGAGGAATTGTTGTAAAGAGAATGGGAAATAAACAGAGCATAATTGGTCTAGAGGTATTTATCTTTACTTACTTTCCAGCAGCCGCTGTATGAGACTGTCCACATTTAAATCAAAATCGCCCATTTTTTTGTTTTTGTTTTTGTTTTGTATGTTTTTTGTTGTTGTTGTTGTTGTCGGCCTTCAATAGATGCAGGCAGCAGTGGATTCCAATTGGAATTGTTCGCTGCTCAACTACAGCAGCTCTCAAAAATCAACGCACACGCACAAAATGTTATTTGTTATTGCTGCTGCTACTGCTACTGTTGCCGCTGCTGTTGCCGTTGCTGTTGCCGTGTACTTAATTTGGTGTGCCGCAAAAGGCAATTTCACTTTGTGTAACACTTTTCAGCGCTTTTTGCTCTGTTGCGTTGCGTAGCGTTGCGGCGTTTTACAGTTAAGTGTTGTTGTTGTTGTCGTTGGTATTGGTGCCGCGGCTGCTGCTGCTGCTGTTGTTGTTGTTTTGCTGTCGAATTTTTAGGCTATTTTTGTGTAAATGGAACGATTACTGTTGTTGTTTTTTCTCACTGGATGCAGTTGCACTGGCAAAAAAATATTCTACGACAATAGAGTGCGGACGCGATCCTTGTTTTTCATTAATTCAAATGAAATTCCACGGCACATCAAACTTGGAGCGTTTTACTTTGTCTGGTGTTACTCCGCTTTAAAAACAAATAAAATAACCAAACATGGCGACAGACTCGCGTGAACTACAAGGTAAGTGTGGCCGCGAAGAATGTGCGCGAAAATACTCGTGCGTTTCATATTAAAAAATACCCAAAAATTCGATATCGATTACGATTAAAATACCATATTTAAAAAACATATATTTAAATTATTTTTAATCAACCAACTGCCGAGTCATAGTAAAACCTTCTATTGAACTATTTCGTTTACTGCTATGCCTTAAAATTTGAGTAAATAGATAATTTTCGAAAATTATGCCATGTTTAACTATCGAAGGTGCGCATTGGAGCACCGATAGTAAGACGCGCACTTTTTCAAACAACATTCACCCACACAAATGAAACAAAAAGCTGGTAAGCTACATACAAATATAACTGAAGATTGATTTAAAATTGATTAACAAAACACTATACAATCGAGCAAATGTCTGAAAACTTGTAGCATTATAAATGAAACGATACCCGACCTATCGTAGTCTCGATTTTTGATTCGATAATTCATTTGCGTTCGCAGCCAACGTTAATGTGCTCAAAATTGCGTTAATCGAGCTCTGTTTACACAACTGCATTTGCCGCCAAAAAAAAAAAAAAAAACAGCTGTTTTCTTTATATGACGGCAATGAATTACTTTCCCAACTATTATTCAATTGAAGACATATTTGTCACCCAGGAGAAGGTTGAGTGCAAAGTTAACACACGCCTACAGCGTATGGGTACGTAACGAGCTGAGCATTTCGTGTTGGAGCACGCTTTATGCGCATTGCTTTATTCGCAGGCTTTCTGGATGCCGGCGCTGAGACCGATGACTTGGAGCCCGGACGAACCATTAATTTGCCACTGTGGTACATCAAGGAACTGAAAGTGAACAATGCGTATTTCACAGTAGCCGTGCCGGAAATCTACAAGAATGTTCATAAGGCCGTCTGCGAGGCAGAGACCACACACATCGAACTGGGTCGACTGCATCCATATTTCTATGAGTTCGGACGCTATTTGACGCCCTACGATCGCAACCATGTCATAGGTCGCATCATATTCGAGACACTGCGCCAACGTGTACGCCATCTGCTCGACATATCCAAGAACGATACGGATAGCAAGCCCGAACATCGGCTCGACAACATTGAGTCCAAGCTGCACGATGCGGGCGTGCGTACCAATACCCTGGTAAGGGGCGACTCCCAATTAGCTCAAAACACACACACACACGCACACACACAGACTAACCCATTGTTGTTCGCAGTACATCAATTGGCTGCAAATGAGCGGCAATCATATACGCATCTCCGAGCTGGTCGAGGAGCATCAAAAGAAACGCAAACGTGCCGAGCGCAGCGACGACGAAGGCGCCGGCGACGCTGACACGCCCAGCGGCAAAAAACGTAGCACAATGTAAAGAGAAAGTCCATTGGGATGCAGACATCGAAAAAAGGATAAACAACTTTATTTTATGTTCACATTAAGCGTATTTGTTAAATAAATGTTAAAACAGTTTAAGAAAATCGTGGACAAACAGAAACTATGTATTTTCGGCATGCCGAAGATCCAATAACTTGACAGACCTGTCACACAAGATATATATGTGTATATGTATATATAGAATTTTAGATTAAAAAAACAAAATCTGGTTATCTTCACATAACATTCCAATCAGAAATGAAATCAAATAATATTTACCAAACAATTTAGATTCTTACAATTTGTCGCACAAAAATAATCGGTTTTTGGTTTTTGAATATAATTTGAAAACAGCTTTTAAGATGGAGAAGCACACGTTCCTTTAACACAATCATATTTTATGGCAAAACTCGAGTATACAATGAGTAGTACACACACATATAATATACATATATAACTATATATCAATTAATATGGTCTGTTTGGATTTATATGCATTCCTGGCAACATCCAGATTATCTCATGGATTTACAGTCACAGTTTGTGGAATCTTAGATACCCTTGGATATATGGGGTATACAAACAACAACCATATTAACATGCAAGTATATTATTTTTTTTTTTTTGGTTTTTTAACAACTTTTTGTTATTTTATAAGTTAGTGGCTTTCTTCTTGATTTTGCTGTTCGTTTTGTTCGTTCTGTAAATATGACGAGGACTTGCACACGAATTTCCCTCACAAAAAAAAAAAATGTACATACATTTAGTACAATATATATATAGCCTGGTATACAGTTTATAGATTAGGTTATTATAATAAATAGATATACATATTCATATATAATTGTATATATACGATTACATCCTATCTGTGCTTGTTGCAGCAACATGTGGAACAATAAGCGCACCTATCAAGGCAACAGTTTTTGAAGCATTTGTTTGTTTTTGTTTTCTGGTTTTTTGTTTTTAATGTTTGTCTTCGAGTCGCACTTAACTAGGTAGTACGTACAATATATATGCACATACATAGACACATATGTATATATGTAAGTATATTGTTGTATATATGGTTATATAGTTAACTCATTTGTGCTCATTTCAATTATCGCTTGGATTTTGTTCGTGAAATAAAAATGAAATCAGCATAACATATTTGTGCTCTGGAGATGCCGAAATATCCTTCAGATTTGCTTGATTTTGGCTACATCAATACAATCAATACAATTGCGACAGTTGGAAAACAATTTTTTGGAAAAGTTCTAGTTAGGCATTGACGCACACATACATATGTATATTGTTTGAATATATCTTTTGATTTTATTTTCTGTTCACTATTTTGGATTTTATCTTATCACATTTACCCTATATATATATATATATATGCTCAATTTAGTCAAGAGGTCAAATCGTCGAGCGATTGCTTACAATATCGAGCAGCTATATCTTTGAAATAGTTTTCATGAAACGTGTTTTGCAAATTCAGTTTTACATTTAAATTCCAGGGATTTATGGCAAAGTTTACAGATACAAAGATATATAGATATTACATAGCTCTCAGTTTGAATCAATCCGCAAAGGTACACAAACCTCGGCCAGCCGAGTTCAATATAGATTCTTTGATTTCGTTCGCAACACTTAAGTGCGCTCTCTCAAGTACCTGTTAAAGTTAGCAGCCGGCTTAACATGCTGTCAATGTGTTAAAGGCCGTACAGTTAACATGACGTTTTTAGCTACATTGCAAACAACATTGTAAAAGCAGCTGTCCAATGATATCTATGCATTTTGACTCAATTAGCAGGTATTGTCAGTTTAAGCCGTTGGCGTTGCCATATCTGCACACAATTTGAACATTTAGTTGCCAGCCACTTTGGCCACTAACATGAACTTTAACAGGCGCCTGAAAGAGCGAACCTTAAACATAGTACGCGCACACAGACATACATATGTATATATATATATATAGCATGTTGATCGATAGATTGGCATTACAAGTTTATCGATTACATGGCAATAGTTTCTTCTGTAGTCGAATGCAACATTTACAGGTTTTTTTTTGTTTTGTCATTATGTGTTTTTTTTTTTCTTCTTCTTCTCTTTTGCTTTAAAAGTAAGTAACATATTTTGTTGTTTGATTTGGTTTTCCTTTTTTCAATTTTTAGTTGTTTTGATTTTTGATTTTTGTTTTTTGTTTTCGGTTTCAGTAATGTCTTTAAACGTAAGCAATTAAATAACTAAACAAATGTCTGGCCGGGCCGAGCTGTGCGTTAATATTTATAATTTGTCTTGTCGCTTTAAAGAGTTAGAAGCCCGTGAAAGTGCAAACATTGTTGGATTGTTCAGCTGCCCAGCTAGCTCAAAAGCGCGGGCTAACAATGTTCAATTAGTTTGGTTTTTTTTTTGTTTTCTTTTGTTTTGTTAAATATGTATAAACAATAAGCAAGACTCGCGCTGGGTACATGCCACAAAAATAAAAATAAAAAAAATTATTACACACACACATATATATATATGTATATATATAGGCATTTCTATATATAAGCTTTAACAAATTTGCACTAATTTTTGCCGTTTATAGTGGCGATGGGCGTCGCCAGGGGCGTGGCCGTTAGGGCATTCGCTTGCAACTGACGGCCAAAGGCGGCTGGCAGCTTCCGTCGCTTGGGCAGAAACACCTGCAAAACGCAAACACATGAAAGTAAGCGAAACCGAGCGCATATCTCTATCTCTCGCCAAACAGTGACAGTGACAGAGAGGGAGAGGGAGAGAGAGAGAGAGAGGGAGAGAGAGTATATTACCTTGAGCGCACCGAGGACCATCAAATAGAACCAGTAGAGCTGCGGCAAGAACAATATGGCAATGCTGACGAGGCAGCCACGCGGCAATCCGCACATGGCCGCCCACATGGAGGCGGCATCAATGGCCAGGCTATAGCGCCACATGACGTACGGCCACATGCAGACGCGGCAGACAAAGAATGTGGCCAACATGACCAGCCCATTGAGTATATAGGCACGAGAATCCTTCAGACCCATGGTGCTCAGTATGCTGCGCAGCGAGACAAACGGCGTGGAGAACTCCATCATGAACATATAGCTATAGATGCAATGACCACCACCGCGTATATACTGCACGAGAAATGCACAATTAGATTTGAATTAAAAAGTTCGTTTAACAAAAGTTCGTTTACCGTCACCACGAGCAGTCCAAAGGTGCCAATGAATACGTGATGTATCATCATAACCGGATGCGTTAGCACATATTTTAGGAAATCCCAGCGTCCGTCTTTGGGTATCTGGACACAGGCGCCATCATAGTCGCATATCTCATGGGGTGTGCCCGGCGTGCTGCCATTATTGTTACCAATAGATCTGTCACCGCCGGCCGCCTTGTCGTAATAGCTTCTGGCATGTCCATTGGTAAACGGCTGTGAGTTGGATAGACGCAGCAGGTGCAGCTTGTCGGCAATCTTCTGGGTGTGCACCTTGTACATGGACCAAATGTCATACATAAAGTAGGCGGTGCCAAACCAGCCGTATGCCTCCATTAGAAAGTGCGAGGCATACACAAACGATTTGCTGCACGTCGACTTGCAGACGATCAGGCCCACCAGGAAGGAGAACGAGGCCTGTATGGCCGAGACGATTCTGCAAAAAAGGAAAAAAAAAACAAAGACAAATTACAGATGAGTTTGGTCACTGTTAACAGGTGCAAAGAACAGGTGAGAGTGCTCGACTAGTAAATGTCAATTTTTGTGACCAAATTTATGTTAAAAACCGTTGACCTTAACAGAGCACTGTTAACTAGATTTAAATACTGCATTCTCGTGTAACGTGTTCTGTACACTTAACAGAGCACTGTAGGCAATCGGTTAGCTCGACCGCAAACAGAACATAGAGTAGGGAAATTTTTGGGAAATTTACGAAAATTGTACATGGATATGCTATGAATATATTTCCCAAGCCAGAGATATGTATATATGTACATATAACTAAAGCTGGACTGCAATTACTTAAGGCGATAAACCCGATTGTTGAAAATGGTTGAGAACGTTAAATTAAGTAGTTTGTTGCAAATGCAAATATTTGGCAGAAGGAATCGGGGTATTCTTTTTCTCGTATCTCGAAAGTTATCGATAACTGGCGACTTTAAACTCGAAAGTTATAGACACGTGAGTATATAAATGTATTAATAATTTTTAGGCATAAATTCGAGACAAGAGCTAAAGATATATATACACAAAACTACAATGTTTTTTAAGAATGCAAATTTTTTTTAAGTATATATTTTTTTAATGGCTTTCGGGCAACTTTAAGAGCTATTCAAGGCCGTTTCCCACAACCGAACAAACAAACAAAGCAATAGTCAAAAACTAGAATTAGACACACATCATTTAGTAGATAGCACAGTTGGTCCTAAGACATAATATGATATGCAACTGTGTGAGAGGATGTTCCGCATGTGTATTCGAATCGAGCTCGAGTGCTCAGCACTTGCGGCCATAAAAGAGTACGGGTAGACAGTTCTGGCGGAGCTGTTGCTCGCGCAGACCCGTATGGGTGGGTGCAATAACCACCGGCTTTTCGGGCAGGCGGCGCAAATAGCAGTTGCGCCGCGGATGATAATTATCCTCCATTTGAACAATATTGCGTAGCCTCGCATCCTGAGTGCATGGGTATCGGAAGTGGACATCCGGTGTCGCTGTACGGCACGGCATCCGGCAGGACGGGCCCAAGCCGGATCTGTTGTAGGCACGCCTTTTGTGCAACTGATCGATGACCGTGGCCAGCATGAGGGGCACATCGGTGGTGGTGGTGCTGCCGCCCCGCTCTCGTGTCTCATCCGGCTCGAGGTTGCGTATGGGTGCAAAATGGGTCTTGAATTCCAAGTCGGAAACCATCGATACGCTCGGCGGCATAATGCGATCATTGATGCGCCTCTTGGTGTCTGGGAAATCGCCGCGCTTCGATAATAGCTGCGAGTTCATGGGCAAGCGGCTCTCCGCCAATTCCTGTTCCGCCGCTGTTGTGGCACGCACCGACAGCCGATCTTGGTTTAATCTTCGCTTATGCACGAATCTGATCGGACTCGGGCTGAATCCGATCGG